ATGCAGATTGAAGCATACTACTTGCTATTTTTTTTCTTCTGTATTATTTTGTTTCCTCTTTCTTGTGGTTCCTCCTATTGATTCCAATTCTTCCTTACAACATGACTGACGTGAAAATGTTTAATAGGAGTGTATATGTATAGCCTATATCAGATTGTGCGCTGTCTTGGAGGGGGAGGGAGAGGGAGAAAAACTTAAAACTCAAAAGCTTATGGAAGTGATTGTTGATAAATCAAAATAAATTAATAAAAAATTTTTTAAAAAAGAAAAATAATGCCTTATCATTAAAAAGCAGTATTGCATATTAGAGAGAGGGGTAGCCTTGGAATCAGGAGGACATATGCCCAAATTCTGTCTCTAACACATAATACTTGGGTTAGCATCTCTAATTTGGGGATGAGTTGCCGATCTGCACTGGTAGATGGAGTTTCCACATGGAACCAACCATCCAATGAAATCGCAGGTCTGATTCTATCCCCATTCAAGGAGCGGGAAAAAGACATGTTGATATGTCCCTTTATCAACCAACTTTAAAATGGCAAGCTAGCTAGTCTCTAACAATTTTTAGCAAATTAAAAGTGGTAATATATTTGTTACCTCAAACTGCTTTACAAGGATGCTAATTTTAAATTTCAATTAGTTAGATTTTTTTTTCCATTAAAATGGAGTCCCATGACAAGAAAAGTTCATTCAAAAAATGTTTCTTCCTTTGCTTTTGTTTCAAATGAACAGAGTTCTGTGGGATCTTAATGGAAAACCCTGCCATGTTGAAAGCACCCTATATAGATAAGATATATGAAACTCCAGAAGTGAAAATTTTTCACTAGAATTCATCTGTGCTATGGCAAGTGCAAGCATGGGACTGGATCAGAAAGAATTCCACATTTTCAAAATGGAAGATAGTTTGAGAATCATATTATTCATTATTTATTACACAGGTGGGAATATCTGTACCCTTGAATACAAGTTCCTAAGGTGTCTCCAGCACGTATGCCAGGGAAGGGGTGACTGGATAATTATCTTAAGAGGTATGATCCTGTGTTATGAACTCATGACAGACCACTCTATGATACACTGCAGGCCTGGCACATGAGTAGTTCAGTATCATGTCTAGGCATACAAGGACTCCTGGAATACCTCTTTTAAGGTATGCCCTCATTCCTCATGTTCCATACAGAAAAAAGACACCATGGCTATATACATGACTCTGATGATAGCCAAGTGAATATACAGGTGCTAGGACAGCCTCTCTCTTTTCCCATAAGAACAATGTAGATGGAAGCACTGGGTTACAGAACGACAGGAATAGAAAAGACATAGAAGGTCATCTAATCCAAGTCACAGCCACATAGGAGCTAGCTCTTACCATGGTGAAGCTCAGCATAGTCTCTCTCTTTTTTGAGAATGCCTAATTATTTAATATTTGAAACATTTTTTATTTTGAACTTAAATAAACATGAATATTTTGACATTCAAAAAAGAACAGGAAAAAGCTGCATATGAAAACATGAATCTCTATTATAGCTTTTTTAACATGTATATTAAATTTCACATGACAGTAGGAATATAGTCCTGCTTCTCTGATTCTTTTGGAACTTCCTTCTGCTCTCTTCTGTGTATTTTTTAATGTTTCATTGATATTCTTTTCTCTCTCTCTTTCTCCCTCTCTTTCTTTCTTTCTTTTTTTGAAGCACTATGATTACAAACTCACTTTCCCCACATACTACTCCCCCACAAAATAAAACTCCTCCCTTGTAAAATAAAATAAAAATGAAAAAGTACAATTTGTAATAAAACAAATTTATATGGGAGGGCACTCTGGCTGGAGGCATTCTATAAACACCCTCCCCCTTTTCTCTTCCTGGGTTTCCTGCTTATATGCATGCTTTTTTCGTTTCCTTTTTTCTTTTTTCTTTTCTGTGCCACAGGACTTTCAATAGTGTCCAAAGGCACAATTTAGTCCTGATCATAACAGCAGAGAAAAATAAGGTTGCTGATCCCTGCTCTATGATTGCTTATGGGAATGATGTACCTCTTTCTCAATTAACTGATGGGAGCTGATATTCAGAGAGCCTCAAATACGAAGTGAGAGAAGCAGGAACAGAATTCAGGTTCTCTAGCTCCAAATCCAGATTTCCTCTGTGTCTAACACAGTTCTATAAACAGGTACATGTTTAATAAATTAAAATTTTTTTCCAATTTTGGACTTCTATTTAATTAAACCTCCTCAACTGAAGTGGATCAACAAATGACCTACAATTTGTATTCTAAGGGGGTTAGAGAAACAAGGCCAGTGTGTACAGAGGTAGGACTCAAACCCAGGTCTTTCTGACGACCTCCCCATGTTTTCTCTCTAACAAATATTATTGATATTAAAATAAAACTGTTTATAAAAGAAGCTTGTTTTCATGTAGCACTTCACATTTATAAGGTGCTTTCATAACCATGATTTTGTTTGATCCCCAGAACAAGTCCATAACACAGGTAGTAACATTTATTTATAGATGATGATGATAATGATAATGAACACTTATATGGTACTTGGTTATTCACAAAACAGACAATATATCTTATTTTACTGACCCTAATAACTTTTTAAGGAAGAAAATTCAAGTCTTACCACATCCATTTTACAGATAAAGAAACTAAAGTTTATGTGGATTAAATGATTTGTCAAAGGTCTCAACAGCAGTCACTGGTAGCAGAAGGTCCTGAGCCTGGGTATTATTTGACCTCTAGTAAAGTCCACTTCACAATCCTATGCTGTGTGTCTAATACACGATCTCTACAGCTGTGCTGATTTATACTTTTTACATAAATACAGTTTAATGCATGCGGTGGACCTGACTACAACTCAACAAGCACTCATTAAATATCTACTATGGTCATGGTACTGGAAATACAAAGACGAAAACAAAATGTCTCCCGTTAAATAACTCACATTCTCCCGAGGACAGAAAGGAGGGTTGGCATGTACGACACAAACACAAAAGAGTACAATACATGGCAGGGTTTGATGCGGGCAAAGGTTATAACCATGCAAAGCACTCCAGGATTATCTGGAAGGGAAAATTTACTTATCTAGGGATGTGTCTTCAATAACTTGTGCATTTGATGGTATGTGCGTGTGTATACCCTAGCTTCCCACATTAGAGTATAAGCACCATGAAGCAATAATGTCTGTATTTTATATACTCTGGATAAGGCCCAGGTTACTGAATCACAGGACTGAGAAGTGGAAAGGAATCTAGTCCAACTACTTCATTAGACAAATGAGGAAACTAAGGCCTAGAGAAGGGAGGTGATTTGTTCAAGGCCACACAAATAATAAGCAGCAGAGGAAGTATTCGAATTCAGGTCCTCTGATTCCAATTCAGTTTTTTTTACCACCCTATCATACTAAATCCCCAAATCTAGAATGCTGCATACTGTGGGTGTTCAAAGGTTGATTACTATCATCAAGGACTCTGTCCTTGTCACTAGCAACATCAGTGCACTTTGATAATTATTCAAACTATGATTTTTCTGGTCACATCTTTAGCTGCAATTAAATACTGATTTGGAAACATGCCATAAGCTATATTAAGTAGTGATCTCTCCAAATGAACTAAATATGAACTAAGAATCCCATCTAGAAGTTTGACCCTATATTAAGGTTTTAATAGTTTATAATTGAACATAGGAACTCATTCTACTCTTATGCAGGAATGCTAAATTCTGAAGTTTGAATACTGTTTCTCATGTCAATTGACTTGGTTTACAGGGAATATTAAACATTTTACAACATTGGGACTATTCAGACCATAACAAAGGCATTCCCAACGCCAAAGAAATGATAACTTATCCTTCATAGAAATTACAAGTGAATACTAAAACAAGAAGAGAAGACTCTTTAGAGAGTCTCGGCACAGAAAGACCTCAGCAACATGACATGTCTTCCATCTTGTACATGGGGAATATATTTAATAGTGCCTATACCCATGGAAGGTCTTGGAAAAGTGGTAATTAGAACTGAATGCTATGTGGGCATGGTGTTCCTTTTAGCATCCCTCTAGGAAAGATGCAGAAGCTTTCACACAATTATTTCAGTTGGGATTTGGTTATGGTCCCCCAGATGAGTATTACGTAGTTACCATTTGGAAAAGGCATGTACTAGAGGCCAGCAAATCTACTCGCCAAGCCTCAAGCTTCTGATGACTGCAGCCCAATTAAAGGAGAGCTGGATGACAGGCCCTTGTGCTAAACATGGCTCAGCTGACGCGTTCAGCAGCTCTCGGCCTCCTGCTTTATCAAAGTTGTCACTTTTCCCATCTCTAAGAATTGGTAATAAAAAAGAGATTTGATTTGCCTCTAATAGGTGTCAAGATAAAAATCAATGGCCTGTCTGAAATCTGGGTAATTTCAAACCTGCAGGTTTTCTGCCATGAAGTAATTCATGCAAAAGGGAAAATGAAAAAGAAAGAAAAATGAAAACAATGCAAATAGCTAGTGAGTCTGAGTTCTCCATTTTGAACAGTGCCAACAGAAGGAATGTTTGATGAAAAACAAACCAAAGACCACACAGAAAACATCACCTAATTAATTTCTACCCAGAGTTTTCAGTTGTAAAAGGAGCTTCCAGGCATACAGTGTCACTGGCCATAGAGCATCCTCTTTGGCTACTAGCAGGAGGGAGATGAGAAAGAAAAATTCATTAAATGAAGGGAGAGAAAATTGTTGCATCCACAATGCAAGTTTGTTTTAGAAATGGAGAAACATTTTCCTGCCTGGCTCTCACTCAGGAGAAGTACTGGCAAATTACCCCCCTTACATAATTTAAACCACTGGTCAGATGACACACCAAACTATAATAGGAGTTAGGTATCTGAAGAAAGGCCTCAGTTGCACGGTTCCTGGGATGGGAAATAAGCCTAGATGAGAGAAAGAAGCAATGAGCATGGAAGAGTGCTAACCCAGCAAGGTCAAATTTCAAGCCTGAATAGTACTGTGAGGCCTCTCACCTGGAGAGTCAATTTCTCAAGCTGCATCTCAAGATTTTTCTTATCATCTTCTAACTGACTTCGTTCCATCACCAGCTCCTCAACCTTTAATCTGTGGGTGAAATGATAGTAGACATAAGATTACACAAGTAAAATACTGGGAAAGTTCAAATGAATGAATGCATTAAAAAGTATTTATTAAACACTTTTTATGTGTCAAATACTATGCTAAGCAGCAGGAATACTAACAGAAAAAGTAAAACAACTTCTGCTCTCTGGGAGCTTATGCTCTAATTACACACACACACACACACACACACACACACACCCCAATCAGGATGCAACATGCCCAATCGTTCCACAGAAGGCCAAAAGGACTGACTCTGGGATTTAAAGACAAAGAATAATTAAGTGAATAATTAACCACTGGATTCATAACATTTTATGTGTAAAAGATCAGGAGTGAGGGATGGCATTGGAAAGAAGACTGGGGGTATCTTAGTTGACTAGAATCATAAAATGAATTGTTTAATAGTGAGAAGAATCTTAGAAATACAATGTCAAGATTACAGGAAATAATACTTCCATGAAATTGCATTTTTTGAAACTCTATGCTAGGAGAAGAAAACGTTTGGTGTATCTAGGAGAGAGAAATTGGACAGCAAAGGGCTAGGAAACCATCTCTACAAAGATCTGCTTATACTTAAAATGTATGGATTAAGGAAAGACATTAAAATACTTTTCAATCACATGCAAGTTTATCATAGAGCAGAGCAGGTAGGTTTGCTTGGCAGCCCTCTAAATATCAATTAGAATGAGTAGGCTTAAGTATAGCTTTCATTTTCCCAACACATTTATTTTCAAACATACTACTTCTGAACACAAACGCAGCAACCCATGCCTTGTAACAAAGATTAAAAAATGATTAAAAAAGCAGCTCCACAAAACTAGCCAACACATCCACCGTGTCCAACATTATACACAATATTGCACACTAATTAACTCCTCATTTTTGTAATGGAGGGAGACAATCTCATTTTCTCAAGTCTTCTTAGGGGCTAAGCACAGTTATTTAAAATCATTTTAAAAATTCAATTCTTTATTCTTTCCATTTATATTGTTATAGATACTGTGTACACTGTGGTCCTGGATACGCTTTGGTTCACTTCACCTCCATTCACATAAGCCTTCCTACAGTCCTCCAAATTCTTATATACTTGATACTGATTAGGATACAATAATACTACATTACATTTGTGGACAACAATTCGTTTAGCTATCCCCCAAACAATTAGGCTCTATTTTCCCCCTACTTCTTTGATACTACAAAAAACATGCTGCAGTGAATATTCTGATGTGTACGGGACTTATCATTCCATTTTTGATTTCCTTGGGTTATATGTCTAGTAGCAGAATCTCTCTTAATTCTAATCTGTTTTCCAGATAGGTTGGTTTAATTTACAAATCTCAGTGTATCAGTGTGCCTATCTTTGCACAAATCCTTCAATACTAAGTATTCTAGTTTCTGGTCGTCGTTGCCAGTGTGCTGGGTATGAGGTAACACTTTAGAGTTGCTTTGATCTGCATGTCTCTTATTAGTGTCCACACTTTTGGAAATTGCTGTTAATATTAATTCTTTTGAAAACTATTCTGGTCAAATCCTTTGACCATATTAACTGAAGAATGCCTGTTCATGTTGCATATTTGTGTAATTTATGTATCTTGAACATTTATTTATATGTCTGTTATCAAAGATATTTGATGAAGAAGTTCTCCCCCTAGCATGAATGTCCCTAGCAATGTTCATAGAAAAGCATTTCAATTTCATGTAATCAAAATTATCTATTTTATGAAGCAGCTAGGTGACATACTGGATAGAGCGCAGAGAGTAATGTAATCATGTTTCCTGGAGTCAGAAAGACCCAAACTCAAATACGACCTCACACACATAACAACTAGCTGTAATGACTCCAGAAAAGTTACTTAAACTCTGTCTGCCTCAGTTTCCTCATGTGAAAAATGGAGATAAATAATAACATCTACCTCCCAAGGTTTTTATAAATATAAAATGAGATAATTTTTATAAAATACTTTACAAACTTTAAAGCACAATGTAAATATTATTATTATTGTTGCTCTTGTTGTTAGTATTTTATAATCACATCTATGTCTGAGTTGATTAAGAAATCTCTCCCCTAGGCATAGGTGTAAAAAGTAACTGATCTCATTCTCATTTATTTTTTTTAAATAACATGACTTTTTATGTTTAAGTTACATATCTAATTTAAACTTATTTTGGTATTCAGTGTAAAATAGTATCTTAAATCTAATTCTACCAAAGTGATTTCCAGGAGGGGTGTGTGTGTGTGTGTGTGTGTGTGTGTGTGTTTAAAATTATGAACTTTATTAATATATAATTCATTTGTTTTTAAGTTTTTATGCCTTAATGCATGATCATTTCTTGTGAAGGTATTTATACACAACTGAGAAAATGTATATTCCTTTTGATTTCCACTCAGTATTCTTCAGAAGTCTATCATATGAAGAAATTAAAGCCATCTATAGTCATATGAAAAAATGCTCTAAATCATTACTGTTTAGAGAAAAGCAAATCAAAACAGCTCTGAGATACCACATCACATCTATCAGATTGGCAAACAGGAAAATGATAAATGTTGGAGAAGATGTAGGAAAATTGGAACACTAATACATTGTTGGTGGAGTTCTCAAATGATCCAACCATTTTGGAAAACAATTTGGAACTATGCCCAAAGGGCTACAAAAATGTGCATACCCTTTGACCTAGCAATAGTACTTCTAGGGCTATATCCCAAAGAGATCAAACAAATGGGAAAAGGACCCACATGCACAAAAATATTCATAGCAGCTCTTTTTGTGGTGGCAGAGAATGCGAAATTGAGAGGATGCCCATCCATTGGGGAATGGCTGAGCAAGCTGTGGTATATGAATGTAATGGAATACTATCGTGCTATAACAAATGATGAACAGGCTGACTTCAGAAAAACCTGGAAAGACTTATGTGGTCTGAGGCTGAGTGAAAGTGAACAGAACCAAGAGGACTTTGTACACAATAACAGCCACGTTATACGATGACTAATATTGTTAAACTGAACCCTTCTCAGCATTACAAGGATCTAAGACATCTCCAGAGGCCTTGGGACAGAAAATGCTGTCTATATCCAAAGAAAGAACTATGGAAGTCGAATCTCTATCACTTATTTTTACCTTCTGTTGAGTTTTGTTTCATCTTTCTGATGGTTCCTCCTATTGGTTTTAATTTCTACTTACAACTTCACTAATGTGAAAATATATTTAACAGGAATGTAAATGTAAAGCCTATATCAGATTGTGTGCCGCCTTGGGGAGGGTGGGTGGGAGGAAGGGGGAGAAAAATTTTCAACTCAAAAGCATAATTTCTTTGTTGTTTATTTTATGGTTAGATTAATCTAGGTCTAACGGGTAAATTGAGGTCCACTACTAGTATAGTTTTTATTTCCTCTTGCAACTCTTGAGTTTTCCTTCAAGATTTTGGATGCTAGGGGCAGCTAGGTGGTGCAGTGGATAGAGCACCAGCCCTGAAGTCAGGAGGACCTGAGTTCAAATCTGGCCTCAGACCAAACACTTGACACTTACTAGCTGTATGACCCTGGGCAAGTCACTTAACCCCAATTGCCTAAAAAAAAAATAATTAAAAAAAAGATTTTGGATGCTAAACCATTTGTTGTATATATGTTCAATATTGATATTAATTCATGGTAACTTTTAGCAAAATGTAGTTTCCCTAATTACCTCTTTTAATCTGGTCTATTTTTGCTTTTACTTTGTCTGAAATCATGATTGCAATCTGTCTTTTTTTTTCCTTCAGTTGAAGCATAATAGATTTTGCTCCACTTCCTTATATTAACAATACATATGTCTTTCTGATTCAAGTGTTTCTTGTAAACAACACATTGTTGAATCCTAGTTTCTAATCTATTATGTTAACCTTTTCCGTTTTATCAGTGAATTTATTCCATTCGCATTCACAGTTATGACTGCTGGGGCAGCTCGGTGGTATAGTAGATAGAGCACCAGCCCTGGAGTCAGGAGGACCTTAGTTCAAATCTGGCCTCAAACACATAACACTCACCAGCTGTGTGACTCTGGCCAAGTCACTCAACCCCAACTGCCTCACCAAAACAACAACAACAACAACAACTAAAACAAACAAAACCCCCCACAGTTATGACTGCTAACTGTGTATTTCCTCTCATCCTCATCTCTTAGATTTATCGTTCTCTTCTTTATGCTGTCCCTTCCTCAGAGTGTTTTGCTTCAAACTACCAACCCCCTTCGGTAAGATGAATTTTTGTACCCAATTGTGTTTCTATGTATATTTTACCATCCTTGATCCAGTACAGATGACAGTATGGTTCAAGCTCTGTCCCCCTGGTTTCCCCTCCATTGTATAAACTCTTCCTTGCACGCCTCATTTATGTGAGATAGTTTCTCCATTCTTTCTCTCTCATCCCCTTTCCCCCAGTATATCCCTTTATCTCACTCTTTCATTCCATCCCAATATAGTAGAATCGCACTCATGCCCTCTAAAAAGACTCTTTCCAGTGTTCTAGTGATGATAAAGTTCTTAGAGGTTACATGAATCATCTTACCATGTGAAATGTAAACAGTTTAACCTTCTTAAGTCCCTTACTATTTACTTCTCATATTTACTTTTTTTTTTTTGCTTCTCTTGAGTTTTGTGTTTGAATGTCAAATTTTCTATTCAGCTCTGTCTTTTCATCAGGAATGCTTAAAGGCATCTATACCATTAAATATCCATTTTTCTCCCTGCAGAATTATACTCAATTTTGCTGGGTAGAATATTCTTGATTATAATTCTAGCTCCTTTGCCCTCCTGAATACATTATTCTAAGCCCTCCACTTCTTTAAAGTGGTAGCTCCTAAATCTTGTGTGATCATGACTGTGGCTCCATGGTATTTGAATTATGTCTTTCTGACTGCTAGCAGTATTTTTTCCTTGACCAGGGAGCTCTGGATTTTGGCAATAATATTCTTAAGAATTTTCATTTGGGGATTTCTTTCAGAAGGTGA